GGGACTTCGAGGCATAGTGCTTTTTTAAAAAATGTGCTTTTATTTATTTCTGAAAGAGAGACAGACAGACAGACAGCATGAGCAGGGGAAGGTCAGAGAAAGAGGGAGACACATAATCCGAAGCAGGCTCCAGGCTTTGAGCTAGCTGTCAGTACAGAGCCCGACGCAGGGCTCGAACCCACAAACCATGAGATCATGACCTGAGCGGAAGTGGGATGCTTAACCCACTGAGCCACCCATGTGCCCCGGCATAGTGCCTTTTTATTGGCTGAGCTGTGAGGTCTCTCATTGGCTGGGCTGTTGCCAGAAGAGGGGGAAGACCTTTCTTCCTCCTGCTGAGGTAGTAAAGTAGCTAAAGTAGTGGTAACTTGCTACGTATGTCTCTTCCTGTTGGGTCTGCACTTGATGATAGGTGGTGGGGTGTGACTGCTTGCCTTGTCCCGACTCCGTTCTAAACAAGTTTCCTTTTGTTAAGTTTCACAAGCCATTATGGATAACAATAACCAGGGGATTATATGTTCTTTTTTTTGTTCTTTTATTTTTTTTGTAAGTAGGCTTCACGCCCAGGGTGGAGCCCAACACAGGGCTTGAACTCACGACCCTGAAATCAAGACCTGAGCTGAGATCAAGAGTTGGACACTTAACCGACTGAGCCACCCAGGGCCCCAAGTTTGGTGTTTTTCCTATTAGTGTGCATTTCCTTCTGTATCCAGAGAACCAGCTTTCTGGGGGCTGGCTCCATTTCTAAATCCCATTGGCTACTTTAGTAAAAGGTAAAAGCTGATTGCAGCACAGCTTCTGCTCCATAGGGTGAGTGACCTCGTGGGCACCTGGGAATCAAAGATCCCTCGTTCCCACCCCACTCCCACCTTTCATCCTTTCTCTTCCCAACCCACGTGGCTGCTCTAGCGAATTCCATCTCTTTGACATCAACTACAATTGGTTTTGCACCCAAATTCCAATGGGTGGGGGGTTGCCAACACCAACAAGCAATTATTAGACGCCAGCTATAATGGAAAAACTCAATTTTACACTGGTGTAGGGAACGCCTCAATTTTTTCTTCTTATATATTTCTCCCATGAGTCTACCTTTATTACTCACAGAATACTTCACTTCTGGTCACCAAATGTGTGGAGGTTTTCTCCCCCACTATAAACAATTCTTTGCAACCTCAGCTGGGTGTCCTACAATTTAAAAAAATTTTTTTAATGTTTATTTATTTTTGAGAGAGAGAGAGAGAGACAGAACATGAGCAGGGGAGGGGCAGAGAGAGGGAGACACAGAACCTGAAGCAGGCTCCAGGCTCCGAGTTGTCAGCACAGAGCCCGATGCTGGGCTTGAACTCATGAACTGTGAGACCATGATATGAGCTGAAGTCTCATGCTTAGCCCACTGAGCCATCCAGGTGTCCCATGGGTGTCCTACAACTTAACTCAGTGCTAACGTTATCTACCTGGAGATAGTGTCACATCCCCCAGGTTAAGGGCTCAGTCCCACAAGAATGCTCCCACCCTACCTCAGATGCCAATCAGAATGCAAGTAGTAGGTCCCTGAATTACCTACAACTTCTGTCCAATTTGGCTACAAATCCAAGCTTCCAGTGACCCGCCCCTCATGTTCGATTAATTTGCTAGACTGGCTCACAGAACTCAGAGAAATAGTTTACTTACTAGATTACCAGTTTATGAGAAAAGGAAATAAGTCAAGGACAGACAGATAGAAACGGTGCATAGGGCAAGATATGTGGAAAGGAGCACAGGCCTTCCGTGCCCTCTCCGGAAACACCATTCGCCCCAAATCTCCACGTGTTTGCCACCCTAGAAGCTCTCTGAACTCCGTACTTATGGGATTTTATGGAGGCTTCATCATGTAGACATGATTGATCATTAATTCTATTTTCAGCTCTTTTCTCAAAAGAATGGAAGGTGGGGCTGAATTTTGCAAGCTTCTTTTTTTTTTAAATAATTTTTTATGATTTATTTTTGAGAGAGAGAGACAGAGCACAAGCAGGTGAGGAACAGAGAGAGGGAAGTACAGAATCTCAAATAAGCTCCAGGCTCTGAGCTGTCAGCACAGAGCCCGACACGGGGCTCGAACTCACAAACCGTGAGATCATGACCTGAGCTGAAGTTGGATGCTTAACTGACTGAGCCACCCAGGCACCCCTGAAATTTCCAAGCTTCTGATCATGGTTTGTTCTTTCTGGTGACCAGCTTTCATCCAGGAGCCATCCCGGAGCCCACCCAGAGTCGCCTTGTTAGAACAAAGGGCACCCCTGTCCCCCAGGAAATTACAAGAATTTCAGGAGCCCTGTGTCAGGAACAGCAGTTAAAGACCAAATATTAGAACAAAAGATGCTCTTGGTCCCCTTATCACTTGAAATGACAAGGGTTTCAGGAGGTCCGTGCCAGTAACCAGGGGCAGAGACCAATATATATTATCTAGTATCTCACAACTGTGAATTCTGCATGTACCAACTAACATGTTTATGATATTAAGTCTTCACATTCCTGAACATGGAGTGTCCCTCCAAATACTCAGGTCTTTTATGTCCCTCAGTAAGAATACAAGTTTTTTTTTTTTCAAGATTTTATTTTTATGTAATCTCTACACCCAACATGGGACTTGAACTCACAACCCCAAGATCGAGAGTTGCATGCTTGACCAACTGAGCCAGCCAGGCACCCCAAGAGTACAAGTCTTTACTGTGCTTAACACAGTGTCCTATAAATAGTTGGTCCACAGTAAATATTTGTTGATGCTTATTCGATAAGGATATGCTTGGGAATTAGAGATCAAGAAGGCAGGGCCAACCTTATATAAAAGTAGATCCAATCTTAGGCAAGTTTGTATTTGAAATCTTGGTGTTTCACTTCTAAATCCTGACCCTCAACTCGGTGCCCCACATACAGCCACACTCCCTTGTCAGCAACCCGCAAGCCTAGGGCAGAAGTGAGAAGCTGGATGTGCTAACTAAACACGTGGCCGTGAATTTCAAGCAGCCATGGAATTCTGGGAGCAGAAGCTTCTACTGAGTGTACTTGAGACTGCTTGATGGGGATGTTCTGTCACCAAGACCGATGGGCAAGTTCCGCAAGGAGAGTGGCCGCAGAGGATTCGTACCTGAAATAGTCACTGGGGGCGCCTGGGTGGCTCAGTCACTGAAGTGTCCGACTTCGGCTCAGGTCATGATCTTGTGTTAAAATTTCACAGTTGTTGAGATCAAGCCTCGCAAACGGGCTTCACACTCCATGCTGAGTGTGAAGCCCACTTAGGATTCTCTCTCTCTCTCTCTCTCTGTCTCTCTGACCCTCCTCTCTCTAAAATAAGTAAATAAATAAATAAGAAATAACATACTCCCGAGTGAAGTGTGAGTCGGGCACCGGGAGAGGGAGAGTCAGGGCTTGAGTCTGTGAAAACCCAGGAATGCGTGACCTCTCTATCCCCCACAACCAGCAGCAGTAGGGCCATGTCCCCCTCCATAAAATCCCCATTTGTACTGGAGGAGGGCTAGCCTCGCGCTCAGAGAGGAAGCCCGTGTGTTCATTTCAGGCCTGTTCCGAGCGTTAGTGCTCCCACCGTGCGTGCTGCTATCGAGAGCCTCTGGAATAGCCAGGTTCTCTGTCACGTGTTCACTCCTCGGTGCTCCGATCACCACGTCAGTTCTAGTGCTCTTCCCTCGAGCCGGTGAAGCCTCAGCGCTGGGGGTCGGAATGAAGACTGTGGATGCCTTTCTTTTTCATCCGCCGCTATATCCTGCTGGCTTTCCTCACTGCTGTCCTTCCTCCAAGGTCTCTTTTCATTTCTCATTCATCACGTCCTGGAGCCAGTCTCTGCCAAACCACTGCGATCCTACTGAGCCCCGTTCCGGAAGCCCAGACCCTGTTCCCTCCTTCACTTTCGATGTCACCGATGATCAGACAGGTACTATTTGGAGCCTTGTTTTGACAGCCCTCATGTCTTCAGCTCAGAGGAACAAATATTCATCACCAGGGCCAATCCCTTGAATCCCGGCTTCCAGAAATGGGGTTGCAAAATTGTCCCCTGGGGAGCCGATTCTCACCATCTTAAGAGGGCTCTTGTTCTCTTCTTAGCGCTTGTAGCTCAGGTTTTCTATCTCTTGAGAGGGGAATTGTAACAATGGTCTGAAAAGAATCCATAGACTCCACATCAACGGTAGATTAGTCACACCAGTGTTCCAGGCAAGGGGAGATGAAAGGAATAAAGGTCCAAATTTATACCAGTTCGTACTCGGAGACACCACTGAGTCAGCCAACAGCTGACGTCCAGCCGCCAGCGCAGAAGTAAAGGTCCCCTGTAGTTCGAGCGCACTGCTAGGGACCGAAGGCATCCGGGGAGACGGGCAAGAGGATTTTCTCAGCCAGCCGCTGCTCAGTTTTTGCCACTGTCAGTAAAAGAGTCACCTTTCCCGGGGCAGGAGCTAATCGCCCCCAAAACCTTCAGAGAGCTATTTAGATCAGCAAGGTGCAGCCTTGCCCAGACTGAATGCTCGTAGATGGTCCTCACAAACTCGCGGTACAAAATAGCTGATAAAAAAAAATATCAGCAGTTGAGCTACTGAGTTATTACAGATGAAAACAGAGGAGTGGAGAATATCCTAACACAACTCACTTCATTCCTCCATCCAACCAACTTTAGGGGCGCCTTGAAGGCTCAGTGGGTTAAGCAGCCGGCTCTTGATTTCAGCTCAGGCCATCTTCTCACAGTTTGTGGGTTGGAGCCCCGCGTTGGACTCTGTGCTGACAGCACGGAGCCTGCTGGAGATTCCTTTTCTTCTTCTCTCTCTGCCCCTCCCCTACTCCCTCTCTGTCTCTCTCTTTCTCTCTCTCTCTCTCTCCCTCTTAAGATAAACTTACCAAAAAAGCCCAACTTTACTTCTAAAAACAACTTTTTTTGTTTTTTGCATAAACAAGTAGATTAAAACAACTTCACTTAAGTCATAAGCAAATGGATCTGAAATCATATCAAACCGTGGGGCGCCCGGCCGGCTCAGTCGGTAGAGCATGTGACTCCTGACCTCAAGGTTGTGAGTTCAAGCCCCACGCTGGGCATAGAGGTTACTTTTAAAAAAAAAAAAAGGAGGGGTGCCTGGGTGGCACCCAGGTTATGATCTCACGGTTTGTGGGTTCGAGCCCCGCGTCAGGCTCTCTGCTGACAGCTAGCTCAGAGCCTGGAGCCTGCTTCGGATTCTGTGTCTCCCTCTCTCTCTGATCCTCCCCTGCTCACGCTGTCTCTTTCTCTCTCTCAGAAATAAATAAATAAAACATTTAAAAAAAATAATTTAAAAAAAGGAAAGAAAAGGGGCGCCTGGGTGGCTTAGTCGGTTAAGCATCCGACTTTCGCTTAGGTCATGATCTCGCGGTTCGTGGGTTCGTTCCCTGTGTCGGGCTCTGTGCTGACTGCCAGCTCAGAGCCTGGAGCCTGTTTCAGTCTGTGACTCCCTCTCTCTCTGACCCTCCCCTGCTCACGCTGTGTCTCTCTCCTCTCCTAGAAATAAATAAAACATTAAAAATAATAATAATAATAAAAAAATAAAAAAATAAAAAAAGGAAAGAAAAGAGATCATATCAAAACAATACACATCTGTCACTTCTTTGGTGTCTGTACCAGAGCCGTCCCTTTCCTGCTCTGGGAACATCTCTGCATTGGTTCCCTAGGGCTGCTGTAATGAAGGACCACAGACAAGGGGACCAAAACTCCAGAAACAGATAGCCTTGCAGTTCTGGAGACTAAAAGTTCAAAATCAAGGGGTCATCAGGCCACACTGTGTAAAACCTGCCCAGGGAATTCTTCTTGTCTCCTCCCAGTTTCTGGTGGTTCGCCGGCCATCTTTGGGGTTCTTGGCTCGTAAGCGCATGGCTCCAGTCCTCCTGGTTCACACGCCATTCTTCCTGCGTGTCCCGCGCCATCTTTGCCCTGGCCATGCCTCTGTGTTCGAGTTCCCCCTTTCCTCAAGGACACGGGCCATATTGGATTAGGGGCCAACTTGATTACCTCTGTAAAGACTCTCCAAATAAGGTCACTGGGGGCTAAGACTTCAACATATCTTTTTTGGAGGGACACAGTTGAGCCCATAACGGTCCCCAAGGAAACCATGTTTATTTTTTTAAGCTTCTTTAAACATTTAAAAAAAATTTAATGTTTTATTTTTATCTTTGAGAGACAGAGACAGAAAGAGCATGAGCAGGGGAGGGGCAAAGAGAGAGGGAGACAGAATTGAAAGCAGGCTCCAGGCCCCGAGCTGTCAGTACAGAGCCAGACGCGGGGCTCGAACCCACAAACCGCAAGATCATGACCTGAGCCGAAGTCGGATGCTTAACCAACTGAGCCACTCAGGCACCCCTAAAAATTTTTTTTTAATTTTTTAATGTTTTATTTATTTTCGAGAGAGAGAAGAGACAGTGTGAGCAAGGGAGGGTCAGAGAGAGAGAAACACAGAATCCAAAGCAGGCTTCAGGCTCTGAGCTGTCAGCACAGAGCCCGACACGGGGCTTGAACCCACAAACTGTGAGATCATGACCGGATGCTCAACCAACTGAGGCACTCAGGCGCCCCTAAAAGAATTTTTTTTAATGTTTGTTTATTTTTGAGAGAGAGAGACAGTGGAAGTGGGGGAGGGGCAGAGAGAGAGAGAGAGGGAGACAGAAACCAAAGCAGGCTCCAGGCTCGAGCCATCAGCAGAGAGCCCATGTGGGGCTCGAGCTCACAAACCATAAGATCATGACCTGAGCCAAAGTCATACGCTTAGCCGACTGAGCCAACCAGGCTCCCTGGAAACCGTGTTTAGATTGTACTGCTTGCCCTCCTGTCCATGGCTGATTGGACTACGGTGGCCCAAGGTGAATTAATCAGGCTTTTCTTCTCAGGATTTTGGATTTAGAGTTGAGAAACATAATTTTCAGGTGTGACTGGAACCGTACCATGTGAACCGTGAGCTGAAAAGTGTTAGTTTGGACTCTGTGGACCAGGAAAGCAGAGGACGCCCGTCTGCAGAGGGAATGCTGAGGCAGGTGCACATAGGGAAATAGAGGAGGAAGATACAGTCTGTGCAGGCCCCACCTATTCAGTATGGATGATGTGCAAGGTCTGTTTTATGTCTGTTCGTTGACTGCATAATCTTTTTTTTAAATTTTTAATGTTTTTTATTTATTTCTGAGAGAGAGAGACAGCGTGAGCAGGGAAGGGTCAGAGAGAGAGGGAGACACAGAATCTGAAGCAGATTCCAGGCTCTGAGCTGGCTGTCAGCACAGAGCCCGACATGGGGCTCGAACCCACGAACTGTGAGATCATGCCCTGAGCCGAAGTCGGACGCTTAACCGACTGAGCCACCCAGGTGCCCCCGCTGACTGCATAATCTTAACATATATTATCCCCATTGTCAAGGTGAGAAACGTGAGGTTCAGAAAGGTTAAGTTGCTTCTTCAAAGCCACTCAGCTCTTAAGTAACAAAGCAAAGTTTCAAATCTGTCTGATCCACAGTTCTATAGTCTTCGTGCTCATACATCTTTTCTTTTTAAGTTTTATGTATTTTGACAGTGGGGGAAGGGGCAGAGAGAGGGGGAGAGAGAGAGAGAATCCCAAGCGGGCTCTGCAGTGCCAAAAGGGACGTCATCCTTGTCCCCGAGACAGGCTTGTTCACGCTCTCAGACCTTCAGGCAGGCACAGTGGTGGCCCCGGGCCTCCCCAGTGGCAGAATCAAGGGTTAAGGATACAGAGTGAGATCGTGGCCTGAGCCGAAACCAAGAGTCAGACGCTCAACCGACTCAGCCACCTGGGTGCTCCCGCTGAGTGCTCATACTTGATTGCTGTCCTAGCTCTAGTCCCATCCTGAGACCCAAATACATCTTGCCCTTGAATTCCAAGACACATCCCTATGGCGTTATAATAAAGTACCACATCCTAAGTGCTACTTTAGGTCAGTAAATTTCTATGTCTTTTTTTTTTTTTTTTTACAAATAGTTTATTGTCTCTATGTCATTTTTTAAATGTTCACCCATTTATCTTGGGGGGGGAGCGGGGGAGGGGAGAGAGAGGAAGAGAGAGAGAAAGAGAGAGAATCCCAAGCAGACTCCATCTTGTCAGTGCAGAGCCCGACACGGGGCTCGAACTTACAAACCGTGAGATCATGACCTAAGCCAAAGTCAGGAGTCAGATGCTTAACGGACTGAGCCACCCAGGTGCCCCAGATTTTTACATATTTTTATACACACCTGTGTACATGTACCTAATTCATGATGCAGGACATTTCCGACATTCCAGACACCCCCCTCCTGACATCTCCCAGTCAATTCCCCCAAAGGGGACCACTTCTCTGATCGCTGTAGCACCGCAGACATAGGGGAGTTTTTTACCAGCTCTTGCGATCTCTTAACCTACAGCCTGAGAGTCCTGTAATCCAGCATTTCATACTAAGTTTCGACCCGTCAGTGGCTTTGGAAATCGAGCATTTTCCTTTTAAGAGAAGAGAAAACATCAGAGTATATGAGATATAGTCAGGGCATTATCATTAAACTTCTGCAAGAATGTCGGGTGTCTGTGTATGTGAGTGTGTGTGTACTGGGTCGTGATGAACAATGCGTTTCTCCATATGGGTTGTATTTTTTAAAATGTTCCCAAAAGACTGCATTAACTCCCGCGGCAGGGGGTCGGGGGGCAGGAGGAACGCAGCTCGTAGTGCTCTGTCCCAGGCCAGGTGGGGGCCCCATTCCAGCTGGCCGGCTCTGAGCACCTCTAGAGGACGCTTAACAACCCCCTGACCCCTGGGCCTCTCTGCCATGTGCCTGGCTCACTCCGTGCTAGGCTGTGTGTATCCGTCAAACCCCAAGGGGGGGTCTCTGATGTCTCTGTCCCTGGATGTCTCTGTCAGGTGAGATGGCAACCTTGCTGGCTCTGAGGTCAGCAGTGCTGTTGGGACCTGTGGCTACTTGGGCCCCCCGCGAGCTGGCCTTGAGTCTGCCATCTTTTTTTTTTTTTTTTAATGATTTTACTTTCGTACTCATTAGATTGGCTTTTTTTTTTTTTTAAGTTTATTCCTTTTGAGAAAAAGAGAGAGTGCAGGGGAGAGGCAGAGACAGAATCCCAAGCAGGTTCCGCGCTGCCAGTGCAGAGCTCGATGCGGTGCTCGAACTCACGCACGTGAGATCATGACCTGAGCGGAAACCAAAAGCCAGACGCTTAACTGGCTGAGCCGCCAGGGGCGCCCGGAGTCCCCCATCTTTATGCTGCCTTTCAGATCACGTGGCACTGGCTGCTGTCCCCTCCCCCAGTGTGTTATCTTGGCTGCTCAAGGTCCATGGCCGCAGAGGGGAAGGCAGCCTGACAGGCCCAGAAAGGGCCGGGCACCCTGAGAACCAAAGCCTTTTGAAACTGGAGTTCTCCTGTTTCAACGCACAGAGCTTGCAATTAAATTAAATTGCGGGCCTTTCTGGCCTCGAAGGAAGGGGAGGGGCAGCCCTGTGCTGGGAGGTAGGGGTGTCCCCTGGGAGCAAGGGAGGCCTGAGGTTTCTTTGCTGCTATCATTTCATCTCCGCTGCACACTGTAGGTTTCTAGCTAAATCCGATATTAGTCAATATAGTCCTTTTTGCCAGGGTACGCGAGGTTGGTTTATAGCGGAGGCAAAAATCTCCCAGAAGGGCTACCCTCTGATTTGTTACCCCCCCCCGACCCCACTGCCCCCCAATGTCTGATTGAGATGCATCTCCCTGTGCGGCCGGCTCCAGGCTGTCCTCAACACGGCAACGCAGGGAACTTCTGGGCCACCACCGTGCCGCCCCTCTGTGAAAAACCCCACACTCGCCTTCCGTCCTCACTGCCTTGCCGTGGCGTCCCGGCTCCTGATAGACCCATGCCTCGCCCCTCCCGCACCTCGTCCCGGCAATGCCAGCCTCGCCCCGCCCAGCCAGCAGAACGACCCACCGCCTCCCCGCACCCCATGCATCTTCACACGTCAGTGCCTTTGCCGGAGTTTCCTTCGAAAACCCGTCCTTCATGGTCCCCCTGCTGCCGATGACCTGGTTAGGTCCTACTCATTTTTCAAGACTGGGTTCAGGG